TTTCACGTGTCTGGTTACATAAACAGGTGGCATTCACCTGTCTGGTTACATTAACATGTGGCATTTGGGTGTCTGGTTACATCAACAGGTGGCATTGGGATGTCTTGTTACATAAACAGGTGGCATTCACATTGGCATTGAGGTGGCTTGTTACATCTACAGGTGGCATTGAGATGTCTGGTTACATAAACAGGTGGCTTTCACGTGTCTGGTTACATAAACAGGTGGCATTCACCTGTCTGGTTACATCAACAGGTGGCATTTGGGTGTCTGGTTACATCAACAGATGGCATTGGGGTGTCTGGTTACATCAACAGTTGGAATTGGGGTGTCTGGTCACATAAACAGGTTGCGATCACGTGATGTAACCAGACAGCCTGCCAATAGTTTGTGTTGTTTTTTTAGAATCTGCGGGATGCTTTAGATAATATGTATGATGCCAGAATTCCAGCGTTATGGAGAAAGATATCTTGGCAGTCTTCTACTCTAGGATTCTGGTTTACAGAATTAATAGAACGTAATACACAGTTTTCAAGTTGGATATTTGAAACAAGGCCTAATGCTTTCTGGATGACTGGATTCTTCAATCCTCAAGGTATGCATATTTTGTTTTTAAATATTTTTGACAAGTGACAGTACCAGATGCCTTTGTGTGCAAACTATTACAATACCAACCACATCTAATACATTTTGTCATCAAAGCCATTTTCTTTGTCCTTCCTTGTTGAACCTATTTATGCACTGGTGATTATTCTCAACATCATACAAATGAATATTAGTTGCTAAAGTATTGTGTGGTGTAATCTTCAAGTAAACAAAGTACTGCTTTAACTATATACAATTTTCTTCATCATCAACGTTTTCTCCAAAGGTTTCCTAACTGCCATGCGTCAGGAAGTGACAAGAGCACACAAAGGCTGGGCATTGGATTCTGTCACATTACACAATGAAGTTATTAGATCATACAAAGAAGATATCTCTTCACCACCACAGGTATGACATTTTGTTTTGCTGATATGCAGTAAATAATAAAGTCTGTGTATCATTGAGACCCAAATGCTGCACTCGTACAATTGTATAGCTCTGTTATGCTTAATTTGACAATAAATCAAACAGTGTACTAAGTTATATTCCACATGGTTGTCAATATATTCAAGTGTCACTGTCTTCATGTTGTTTGTTTTCAATTTCAACTCAAACAAATATGATATAATTTTATGTGTCACTTATCACACACATAATGTGCTCGTCTCACTACAAAACAGATCAAAAATCCATATGAAGTAGTTTTACGTAAAATACTAAGAAACTTATTTTCATTGGACATATCTTGGCTATATCAAAATGTTGATTCAGACTTTTGGGTTTCTATATCGCTTAATATGACTATCATAATGCAATATGATAAGCATGATTCATTTTTAGCAAGTGTATGTTTTTTCAGAATTATCATTCAGTCACTCAGTTGGATTTTTTTTAAATATCTGGCAAATAACCATAATTGCCACACAGTGTAGGAGGAAGGTCATTTGCATGTGATAGGAATATTTAAGTGTATATGTCACATATGGGGATATATTTTAATTCAGTGTGATGGCAGTTATAGTTACACATCCAACAGACCATCAGTCCAATCTGTTCTGACTGTAAAAACATGCAATAAATATATAATATGATATTTCCTCCCAGTTTGACATTAGTAGACACTTATGATTACCGCAACAGTAGTGGTAATCGATTGTGTCTGCTGAAGTGTGATTATATATACTGATATGATTTAGTTATGCTTTGTATGTCCAATGATTTAGATGGTTGTGTTAATGGTTCTTTTACAGTGTAAAATTATCTATCTTGTTTAGGGTATTTTATCAAGCCTGCATATGCCTTTAAGTTGTCAATCACTGGTGCTAATAGCGTTGTTACTTTGTATCTTGCAGGAGGGTGTATATGTTTATGGTTTATACTTAGATGGTGCAGCATGGGATAGGCGTGGATGTAAACTGATAGAATCCACACCCAAAGTATTATTCACCATGTTAACAGTAGTACATGTGTTTGCTATTAACTCTACTGCTCCTAAAGATCCTCGTCTTTATCAATGTCCAGTTTATAAGAAACCAGGACGTACTGATTTAACCTATATTACACCACTCTGGTTAAAAACTCAACAAAGTCCTGATCATTGGTGTCTCAGAGGTGTTGCTTTGTTGTGCGACATCAAATAAATTCAATTTCTGTGTTGGATTAAATTAAAAATAATAATTCAATCTGTATTTTAATTAACTTATTACCAATTCAAAGTCATTCTCATGACAAAGTTTTAAATTTGATTGAATGTTTCAGTGTATATTTTTAAAATGTTAATATCAGTAATTTAAGATTTAAACTTGTTGTGCCTTGGTGAGTTCAAGTTTTTGAATTTATATTGTTTCAATAAAGTTGTTTCATGTTTTAGATTTCTTGTTTTTTTGAATAAGTGAATTTCTGATTACAGACTGAGCTTGGACATAAATTTATGTGATCCTCTAAACCTCTTTTTTAGTTAATTAAAATTTAGGCTCCATTCATTGCGGTTATTTATCAGACAAAGTTTGATTGAAATTGGACTTGTAGTATATCCAAGGAACAATTGATACAAGCCCAACACCATCCAAACAAGGACTAAGCTGCATGGGCCTGTGTAACAAGAGTCAGTTAGGTCACATACTCCATCCCAAGGCACTTGTGCAGTGTTGAGCGATGTATTTACTTTGACCAATAAGTTAGTAATTTTAAATTTGACATTTGACTTGTCAAACAAATGTATGGTTAAGGTAGAGATGCTGGTTCGTGAGCACTTGGGAATGAAATTTTGTTTTTTTGCTTTTTATTATCCAAAAAGTCTTGGCTATAGACTGTTGAAATTTTATAGAATTGTGAATAGTGGAACCTACTCAAAAAACGATTTTAAAATATAGATAACAGGTGCAAACATTATCTCTTTTGAATGCTTAGCAAGATTTAGCAAGGCTGTACATAAATAATAAAAAAAAAACATGGGATCGGGAGTCCATATACAGTCCATATTATGGACTGTATTTAACTTTTTACAAAACGATAATACATTTAAATTTGAAACTGTAACAGCCATTTCAATTATGAGCATTAGCAAACTTCTTACTGAGAGAATTGTTATGCAAATTAGCAATTATCTCA